TCGATCCTGCAGCTCCCGAGGGCCATGTTCCTATTCATGAAGAACAACCTGATGCCCCCGCGGACGAGATACAAGAAGAGTCGGACCGAGCTGCCCTCGTTCATGACATTCCGAAAACTTCATCCGCACCACCTCCTATCACTCTTGAAGAAATTCTCTGAGCCATCCACCAGCAGAATCAAATGGGTGCAGCACTTCAAGAAAACAACAGGAGCAGTATGACAGTTTATGTACACAGAACGCTCAGATTTTGAGTGGCCAGCGGAGCATGAACGAGAAGTTAGACGAGGCCTTTTCTGAACTAAACGCTTTAAGTATGGACGTCAGCACTCTTGGCTCCCATGACACTGATTCCGAAGCCACGCCTACCAGGCGATCACGCACCGGGAGCAGAGGACGTGGACATTAGTAGTCTTTATTCTTAATTAGTTAGCTTTTGATGTTTCTTTTTGTATTTGTATTTCCCAGCTATTATACCACAACATTGAGGACAATGTCTGATATAGTGTGGGAAAGGTACCTTTCCCTTTTCGCATTTTCCATTAAACAGGTAATTTTTACGATATTTCTCAGTTTCAATTCTTCCCCGATTTATTTAGCCATACCGAAATTTTTTGCTTTATCTTCGCATAGCCCGACATAGCTACCTTAACGAAATCCTAGTTAGGAAGCCGAGAATGATTCAACAAGATCGATACGGTTATGACACCTTAGACTTCCTACTTACACGATCCGTTTCAATAACCGGTATACCTATATCTTGAGTTTTAGTTCTAAAGTAACCCCTAGTAGTTTATACTAGCAGTCAACACTGTCTAGACACAAACCACGTGGGGAGCTGATGAATATAAGTGTTTGATGCCTAATCAATGAAATATCCTTCTTATATCGCTGCTAAAAAGGAAAATTTGCACCAAAGTACAAGGTCGCATATAAGAGATGAGCAAATAATGAAGGAGTCCATTGTTGGTTGGTTCAGAGGTATCTGGTTCTGAACTTGGTAGGGCGTGATACGGCTCGATCCCCCACAACCTCCAATTTGGATAATATGTGTAGGGTTGCCACATTCGTGTACCAGACCCCGTGCTAAAAAGGATCAAAGTCACTAACCGGTTACTCCACTACGTGCGTGCTAAGACAAAGGGCTTAATGTGATTGCGTTAGAACAAACCGAGTGAAATAGGTACAAGAGACTCTGGGTAGAATTATAACAGAATTATTGGACAGTTTGTTTAAAATGGAAGTCCACGACTTAGCTTGTTGCTTGTGTCATTAGTGTATCGTTAGTGTTTTACTTAAGTATCGGCCGAACTAACGATTGATTTCCCGTAATTGTTTTGAAAACCAAAGGTATGTTATGCATGTGCGTCTGATAAAACTTGTCTGATCTTTCTAAATGATTATTTGCTTGAGGACAAGCAAATGTTTAAGTATGGGGGAATTTGATAACGAGAAATCATATCGTATAATTGCTATGTTTTTAGTCCGTTTTCATACTTCATTAATCCATTTAACTCCCGATTGTTCCGAGTTTTTATGTCTTTTCACAGGTACAACATGTCTCAAGTCAATTTAGTGGAAAAAGATCATATGAAGAAAGTTAACATGAAAACCAGAAGAAAAGGAACAATTCTACAAAGTTCTGCAGTTTTTGATGTTGTGACAATCGTCACACATCACTGACGAACGTAACGCGCTGCTAAGCGTCTTATGCCCGTCACCTTGGTGTTACGACCGTAACACGCTTATTACATGAAGAATGCCCGTCACCTTGGTGTTACGGCCGTAACACGCTTAATCCAACTTTATGAAGAATGCGAGGTGAAGACGTGGAGACGTGGGCAACGAAAAGAAAGGAGTCTTCAGATACTCCTACAATCTCTCAACCTCACCAACGGCCAGTCTTCCTTTTTTTCTCTCCACAACTGAAGTGCAAAGCCAACGTTCTTGTTTTTTTTAACTGTCAATTTCTCCTCTATATATACGAGAGATTTCGATGAAGAATGGACAGAGTTTTATTTACACAAATTTCTTGCGGAAGCTCTGCCGAATTTACGAGCCATTTCCCAGTTTGCCTTTTTTCTGTTGTTCTTGTTTTTATTTCCCTTTTACCATTTAATAGCCATTTCCAACATTAGGAAATTGCTATCTTAGTTAGAATTTATTTTTAGCCTCAGATTTTGTTTCGAGTTTCAATTCCTAAGGTTCCAAACTTGTCGACTTGTGGAAGAGGGAGCTTGAGGAATAGTATTATTATTCAGGTTTTAATCGCATTTAATTTAATTTTAAGTACAATTTGTTTACGTTCAATTATTGTTATTTATTTATCATGAATGTTTCACTGCTTTCCAATCATATTTCCTGTCTGTCTGTTTCAAGTACCATGGCTAGCTAAATTTCTCGAGTCGGGATGTGATAATAGTAACTGAATGGATTAAATTGTTCCTAAGCTAAAATCCAAATTAACTTAATTTCTAGCTGTGACTTTTTATAATTAAAATCAATCTTTTTGTTACGAGAGTAAGAAAAGTAGAAAAGGTTAGGATCAAGACCACGAGAGTGTGAGGTTTTAACCAGATAGTTAAAGTTAAGCATTTGATTTAAATACAACGAGAGCGCTTTAAAACGAATTAGACTTTATTAAGTTTTCAAAGAGTATTTTCTAAACACTTATGGGCTGGCGAGAGCAGGCATAGGGCTTTAGGGGTATAATTCGAGATAAGACCACGAGAGTGTGAGTTGAGGGTTTTTAAACTGATAATTTCTACAGAACCATTTAAGTTAAACATCTTTATATGCTTAGGTTCGATTAAATCCGCTTAGGTTCACTATATTACATACCGATCACTTTATTATTATTATTTCCTTAGTTCGATTTAGTTTTCCTCTACTTTAACTTCTAAAAACCAAACGTGAGATCATCCGCCTTAGCTAAACTATCAAACCTTTATAGCTCTAGAGTGATTACAAAGTCCCTGTGGGTTCGACATCTTTTTATTACTACCACAATAGGCTGTACACTTGCAGTTAAGATACTGTTAGACACATTAGATCGATCGCACATCAAGTATATTTTAGATTAGGATGATGAGACTGAATACCTTTTCGTTATGTTATTTGAAGGCCAAGTTCAGGTGACTTAATTGTACGAGCAGTTGGAGCAGGAGATGATGCTGGTGGATCAATATCGTCTCTTACCTCATATAGACGGGGTGTCCATCGCTGGTATACCTGCAATTGAGGTGTAGGGCATGCAATGCGTGTGGGGATGATGGATGGGATATCTCGAGCAGCTGAAGTACAATTCTCATCAGGTGACAAAGAGACAAAGAAGAATTGGAAAGTTTAAAAGAATGTGACATAAAAGGAGAGATAATGTATCGTTGAAGCTGGAGACAAAAATAATGAAATATTTTTTGTATACGTTAGTAGCCTGCAAAAATATATTTGAGAGATTTGACAGAAAGATTTTCTTTACCTGAGCTGAGGTCATGAACAAAGCATGTGCAATCAAAGATACGAAGAGGAAGGGGGTAGAGATCATATCACGGGTTCAAGATAAAGTATGGAATTTGATTTTGAAGGACTGATGAAGGCGTCCGGTTAATAAGGTGCCAACTATGTGAAGAGCATCACCCCAAAAACGAGAAGGTACATTGTGGTGAAGTAAAAGAGTCCATACAGTTTCAACTAAATGACGATTCTTTCGTTCAGTGACACTATTTTGTTGTGGTAATTGTAAGATAGTTGAGCCTATCCATAAACCGTTGATATCTTCTCACAAGAGACATTCATAATTGTATCTCGTGTATATGGCATCTCACGTGATATCTGAAGTATTGTTTTGAACGAAAACTCACATTATTCCTAATTTTTTTTACAGACTTACGCGTTAAATTGCTAACCTTGCAGGTCAATCCCTACACCATTACATTAAAGATTCTACTTCATCCTTTCACAAAACATTTCTAATTCCCTAACAGAACTGAACAAGTAGTTTGATTCAGTTTTCAAAAACTACTTCGAACGAGTCCGATGTCCAACACATACATGGACACCAAATATTATTATTGGTATAATTGTTCTGCTGCAAGTACGGAAACAAGACTAAAATTCCAATTGTTGAATTTCCAAAAACAAACCAAAGTTTAGATAAAGCAGTAACTTTCATATATTGATCAAATCTGAATACCTTGTCTGGAATATCCTGTTCCCTGTCCTACATTGCTTCAATGTTATCACTCTCATATTATCTCTTCAATTATCATATACTCTATGGTGGTCCCTCTCCTATCCTTTTCCACAGTATTACAGTTAAGCAACAACATTTATTCAAATTATAAATCAACTATACTATAAACACATGTTAAATACAAAATATATATTCATATTATATATTTGGTATAAATGTCACTCACACATTTGCAAACTTCATCTTTTTCTTGCCTCCTTCCTTCACAGCCTGTCAAGCCTGAATTATCAACTAACCTCATAATTATACTTTATTTCTTGTCTTGTTTCTTTCTTCAGGATTCTCTAGCTTGTTGGGTTGATCCATCATGAGAGAATTTTGCACTTGTAGTAATATTACTATTAGACTTAAGTGTGAAAATTCTTGCATGAGAGAGTAAGATGTTCAATGACATTCATCAGAGAAATCTATAATTCTGCTACTTCATATTACAGGTATGAAATATTGAACTTCCAAGGATGCATATTTTTTTTTGTTTATTTGAAGTTTCCTAACATATATGGTGCATGTGTTAAGATGTAGCATCTTGATTCTATAGTGATATATGGTCTTACATTCATTTTGATATCCAACAAAAACTATACATATGACCCCTCATAAATATTTTCACTATATGCTACCCTTACATATTTTAGGCCTCATCTTGTCTTGGCTTGGATTTTCTGAGTAATGGAAACCAAAATTGAATATTCTATAAATCTTGTAGCAATAATAGTAGGGAGCAACAACTAAACTGCAAGGTTCGATCATGGATAACAAGCAGCTTGACAGAAACCATATAGAATCCATCAAAAAGACAATGAAGATGCATGAAGACATCTTCAAACACCAGGTATATATATATCCTCAAGATGTCACTGATTCAATTTTCTTCCTGAACCGAACTATGAAAGGTCCTAAATTGCAATCATATGCAGGTAAGAGAACTACACCGAATATACAACGTGCAGAAGATGCTGATGACTGAGCTCAAAAATAAGATTAGACAACAAAACTTTTGGAGTCCAATGAAGGACATAAGAGGTATTGATCTTGAAAAGCCTGCTGTGGAAAACCCTTTGATAGGATCATCATTTGGTATTGGTGAAGGTGAGGTAGGGACTAGTTCACACACTGCTACATTTCAGAATAGTAATGAAGAAATGGAAGTTGATTTGACATTAAGCATAGGAGGTAGCAAGGTTAAGAATACTAATATGAAACTTCAATTAGGAGAATGCAGTGATACAGAAACCACTATTAGGAGCAACAGTGTAACAATTACTCAAGGTTTACAGCTTAAATAGCAGTTTGTTAACTTGTTTGTTTCTTTTTAACTGTTGTAATACGGTATCAGGTATCAGAGTCAGGTTTAAGATTCGTTGTAGTTTGTATGACTGAGTTAGTCCAACATAGTCCACTGAATTTAGATGGTTCACACATTCACATTACTAGAAGTTGTAATTTGAAGAACTCAATCATCGATTATTAATAGAACAATGAATTACAAAGTATACAAAAATCATAAACCCTTGAAAGAAATGATGATGATGATGATGATGATGGAAATTTACTCTCTAGTTACTGATCTCGACCATCTGATCCAAACCAATAGTCGAGACTCGAGATCATTTAAAATAAATCGAATAAGCTTGTACAATCTCAAACCAATGTTTGAGATTGACTATTACGAATAACTGCGCGCTTTTATTATTGCAAAGAATCGAAATCCAACAATGATGTCATATCATATGAGTAGTTTTTCTAGTTGGCCTTGGAGCAATCAATCCTAATTTCACCTTGATTACCAGTTTTAACACCAACCTTTCCCAATTTAGTAATAGCATCAATAAAAGCAGTTTGAAAAGCTTTTTCATTGGATGCAAAAAGATTAACTGTAGCCCTTGACCTTGAATCTGTAAACAACACTTGATCAGAAGTGAATAGTCCTTTTCCTTGTTGTAGATTCTTGAAATATTGATTGTCAAACTTTCTAGGTGACACAGGATCGATGTTAATGGCAATTCTAGGATCAACATTCAATGGACACATTTGCCTAAGCTGTAAAGCATATTGTAAATTCAATGATGGATCGATTCGAGTTGTTGGACTGAATCTGTAGATTCGATTTGAGAAGCGGTTGCAATGAGAGAATCCAATTGTATGTGCACCTAAACATACATAATTGAACTCAGTATCACAAAGTTTACATACAACACTCATACACGTGTTAGACCTAATGGTCCAAACATATAACATGTCAATTTTTTCGTACCTGATAATGCAATCATATCGGTTTGGGAGAGTCCGTGTCGATTAAACATGGTGTTGAGTTGATCCAATTTGAAACTAGGGCCAGGAAGATTGTGTTGAACACTGGCCAAAGTGGATATTCTTCCATCGCGCCTTCCTAAATCGACATTATAAAATGGACCCCCTACCTACATTATTGACAATAACATTTGCATGTACGTAAGTAATCAGATGAGACTTCAGGGTGAAACTATTGAAATCCACATCCTCTTCGCGCGAAGAAGTACACGGGGTTAAATAATATTTCAACTAAAATAACTCGAAGAAAATGAATGTACCAAATTGACGACATCTCTAGTAGCAAGAGCGAGAATATCAGCACAAGAGACTTTGTTTCGACACTTAGGATCCCTGTCAACAGCCGCCTTGGCCTTGATCACCGTGTCAAAGCCGTCCCCGGCTAGTGACACGTCATCAGGATGATCCTTCTCTGCTTTATTAATTGGAGATTGAATCAAAACCGAAGCATCACAACCCTGATACAAATTACAAGTATTTATTTATCATACTTCAACCTTCTTATTCTTAATCAATATATCTGATCTATATAATAGATCAGATTCATTAATTATTCAATAAATATAAAAAGTAAATTACAGACATACCCTGACAAAGCAATCATGAAAGAAGAGTCTAAGAGTGGCGGGAGCAGTCACAAAAGTTTGTTGAAACTTCTGAGTCACGGCAGCACGAACAATTTGTTCAACATTGGGACATACATTGTTATAGAAGCCACGAGTGAGTTGAGCTGAGCTTGTTGAAGCTGTAAGGAGAAGAAGCAAGGACAAGAAGACAAATCTTGGAGCTTCCATTATTAACTCTTTTGATGCTACAATTGTTGTTTGCAACATTTATGAGACTAGTTAGTTATTTATATATAGTTTGTTAACATGACATGACACCAATTTGAGGTAGCTTATGTAATAGAATAATGTAGTTGACATGAAAAGGGATAGACTTTTTAAGGGGCATAATTGGAGAATAATTGAGTGATGAGAATAAAACAAAGGAGTGTTACATGGACAGACTGGCTAAGTAAGTATGTATCATGAGGGGATGATTGAGGTTACAATGTTGACACCAAGAAAAGAAGACTTTAAAAACTGAAGACTGTTTTAGGATAGTATATACTAATATTGTGGCGTGAAGCATCTAAATTGTTTACAATTTGTTTTGAGGATTGCTTGGGCAGCTAGAGTTTACTATTGGAATATATTATTATATGTATATATGAATTAGTAATATATAATAATGGGATAAGCATGTTCATGAGATGACAACTAAAGCAAATTTAGTTTATGAACTTAGTTTGAAAGTTTTTATCAATAACTCTCTCAATACCATGTTTATATTTGATTTGTCTTAACAATATAAACTATTGTTAAAATTTGATGTCAAATTTGTGTCAAAATAATTCATTTGTTGATTTACTTTTAGGGGTGTATGTAGGTTGGGTTGAGTTACACCAACTCCAATAGAGAGCTTCTCATTCTACACTTTTAAATTGCACCGAAAGAGTTTACGTAGAGATGTAAATAAATATTTATAGAAACAGATAATATGATATTCATGTTTGTCCCGTTAGCTAAATATGATATCTATATCTGCATTATATCTGTATGGATATCGTTAAACGGATAATTCAATAGTTTTAAGGTATCCTCAGATATTTACAGATATCCATAAATAACACTATTTTTCTAAAATTAGATTTAAAAAAAAATATTTTCAACTTCTTTTAAAGACACTACGTTATTATCACAATAACAATAAGAGTTGTACGAAATATAAAGGTTTTCTTTAAAGAAAACTTCAAAAAAAAAAAGAGACTAGTTTTTTGTTTTGTTTTTTAGAAGATGAAAAGACAGAGGATAATACACTAATAACATTTAAGTAATTCTTATAACTTATTAACGGATACGGATATCTGCAGATACGGGTAATATTAAACTCGTATCCATATTCATTAATAAATAAGTATTTATTTTATCTGCGGATATCAATTAAACTATATGTCTCATACCCGTGACAAATTTTATCTCCAGATATCCGCGAGTACAGATATTTTTGCCATCTCTAGATTCACGAGTAGTATTGCTCTTGTGAAGCACTACTATAAATAATATATTTTATGATACATTGAACAATCGAGGTATAAAACAAAGGCGCACAACATTTAATTTTTTTAAAATATTATATATTCTCTCAATTGAATTGGCAATCAAGTGAAAATTATTAAAGGAACACACTTTTGAAACTCAATAATTACACTTTAGCAAAAAAAAATTTATGTTTTTGTTTATTATCTATTATCTCAGTTGAGGGGGTAACCGAGAGAAAAAATATTTAGGGAACACGCCTTCAAATTTTAACAACTGCATTTTAACATATTTTATTTTATTTTTATTTTTGTTTATGATCTATTATCTTGGTTTAGTTGGCAACCGATGAGAAATAAAATATCTAGAGGATATGCATTTGAATCTTAACAACTGCATTTTAGAAAATTTTATTTTATTTATTTTTAATTTTATTTTTGTTTATGACTTATTACCTCGATTGAGCTGCCAACCATGAAAAAAGTATTGATTAACTACCCTTTCGAATTCTAACAATTATATTTAAGCGTATTGTTTATTTTTTATTTATGACATATTACCAACTGAGAGGAAAACTTTTGTCCAATTTGACGGAAAACTAAGTAACGAATCTTTTTCGTCTATTTATATAGTAACAACGGTCAAGATATTGCAAACTCATTCATCCACATGAATCATAAGTCCACATGAAATTCTCACCAACCAATAATAACATGAATGCCTTAATGATTCATCTTGGATGAAAAGTTATAAAATACAAACTTAATATAATGAAAACAATGAAAATGAAAGAAGTAGCATGAAGTACAACACCATTCTCTGATATTTATCGCAATAGCATGAAATTTTTTTAAGATTGGTTCCTTAATGTAATCTTTTTTCTTATAATTGTTTGTTAAAAATATTCAATTTTAGTTAGGAAAACATGAATGTAACTTAACAACGTTAGTTGTCGTTGTTGTTGTTGTATTAAGTAAAAATATTTAATGTTGTTGTCATTGTCGTTGTTGTTGTTGAGATTTAGTTTTAACGATTCTATTTATTTGATTTATTTTTGTTGATGTTGTTGTTGTTTTTTAGATTTAATGTTTAAAGATTTTATTAATCTTTTTGTTGTTGTTGTTGTTGTTGAGATTTAATAATCAACAATTCTATTTATTTTTGTTGATGATGATGATGAGAAGGATTAAAAAAATTTCAACAAATTTGATGTTTTGCAGATTGAAACAAAGAAAAACAGGTTAAAACAAAAATTATGTAAACAAGGTATTTTACTTCGAGTATTATTTTCAACTGAGGTAAAAAGTAATGCAGTCTTGAAAATCCAAAAAATGTTGTTGTTGGGGTCGAACCCATGATTAGTTTCACTTTTCCTCTTGGTTGGAAGTTCAACCAGGGAGAAAAGTGGTGCACTTTTTATGACATTATTCTTTACTTCAGCCAGCAAAACGAGGTAAAATCACTTTCCCAACTGAGATAAAATCCCTTATTCATAGTAGTGAAACAATATTAAAATATTGTCTTAGAACAACAACCAACATAGAAGATTAAAGATAAACGAAAGTAAAAGACAATGAACACGATTGAACTTTGTTAATGCAGATAGTCTAATGATGCCTACTTCTGTGAGTATAAATAAGTTATAGTTCCATTAATTCATGTCATTTGAATTAGGATTCCAGTAGTACAAGTCATATGTATAATATTAGAGTTCAATTTACCTAAATCATAATCCCTAGTTAACCGCAACAAATAATAATCTCTGCCCATAATAGTCTCCATAATATGAGTTATACTCAACAATACCCATTAATAATCTCTGTAATATGAGTCATACTCAACGATCTCCACCATGGTGATTATCAAACCCCTGTGAAGACTCCTTGCATGACGATTCATCATGGCAACTAGGGAGGTACACCAATTGCTTAACATTGAGAAACATATGTAACAAGTCCAAATAATGCCTAAACTTGTCAATGATGATTGACTTTGTCAATATACTATAAGAATTCTCTAAAGTATGAACTTTTTCAAGTAATATTTGTCCAGAAGCAAGTAATTCTCTAATAATTTAAAATCTCACATCAATATATTTGGTCTTAGAATGATACACCTAATTATTTTCCAAATAAATGGAACTCTGAATTTCACAATGCCACTGAACTCCACCTTGCTCTAAACTCAATTCTCTCACCAATCATGTAAGTCATAAGACTTCTTTTGGTAGCTGTAATACCTCAAATTTGTCCCACCTCTTTATAAGGATAATCTGGCTTACGCATCTCTCATTCTTCATGTACATGCTTCATTAGGTCATCTAGCATTGCATTCATTCATTAATCGATAATTTGGAATGGGATCAGAGATCTTGAAGGATTAGGGTTTTACAGTGGTTAAGGCGTTCATATCCAATAAAGGTCGATTCCTTTTGCAGAGGCATTAAGGTTATGATCTGTGGTTATTGAGATTTCTTTCTCCTTAAGCTACAAAGTTATTATTTCCATATCAACAGTAGGTCGCAGGGTTTTCCTCTTTAGAGCTATGAATCTAGGGTTTATATCCTATTTTACTCGGGTTTGTCAACATTTTTACTGGATGTTTGATTGATAGAAAAACATGATAAAAGGAGGGTGTTGTGGATTCATTGTGATCAAGGCATTATTGTCCTCTCAATTGCTTATTGCTTGTAGAGCAATATAATATGGATTCGAGATCGAGGTTAGGAGTTTTGACAAGAAGGAAAGTTGATTTAGGTTTTTGTTTGTTAAGAATTAAAGTCAATTTGGATTCATTGAAACTACTAATTGTGCTCAAGATTAATATTAGCTCAAGGTCTCAATTTCGCAATTTGGCAATGGTTGATTCAAGATAAAGTTAGAAGATTCGTTCATACGGTTCTCTTGGTGTACAAGTTACGAGTTTTCAAAGAACTACAAGTCATAACATCATTCAAGGTTATTCGTTTAGTTTGGTTCATCAAAACTCATCAAGATCCAAGGGTTCACATTCATTCAATGATATGATCTTTACAAGTTCTAAAACATCACGCATGATTTGTCAAAGGGTTATCCAACTTCATTCTCGTTCATTCAAGGTCATAACCATGCGATTTACAAGCTATGTTGTTGGAGCATTACAAGAGAAAATTACAAAGACAATAAAAAAGAACGATTCATTTACATGGAAAATCTATCCAAAACACATCCATACTGTTACAAATGTTATGAAAGATTTCAAGTTTTATGTCGTCACCAACTTCATCATATATGCCATGCTTTAATCAATCTTCAATGCTCCATAACCAACCTCCACCTTCAATCTTCTTCACGTTGCTCAAATTCTGAGATCTACATGTACCAACATTTCATGCCCTTCATGTTTCAAACCTTCGTCATAGTCCAAATGATCAGCCCTGCATATTTCAGAAAAATTGGAAATTAAACAAAGCATCTAGTAGAATTCCAAATTTTACAAATTCCTAATCAACTTCTCAGCAAAAATAACAGTTTTCTAACCAACTATCTAGTTCACAAATCAAAACAGAACTTCATAACAAAACACCCTAACCATAATCTCCAAATATAACCCTTAACTGCCTTAAAAAGAAATTCCAGCCAAGAGAAAAAAAACAGAATTTCTTAACGGAAACAGAATTTTACCCAACCATTTTCCAAACTCTCCCATAACCAAATCCCAGCTTAACAAAAAAC